GGTATGAGAGTTTGGTATGACTAGAAGTGAAGTTGATCATTCTGTTTTCTATTATCGTCATTGTGACACCTCGTATTTTCCTAAAAATAAATTATAGTCCCGATATTAAATATTTTAATAAAAATATTTATATAGCTATTTATTTTAAAACGGGCTCGGGTCTATCTAGTATTGTGAACCAGTGTTTTATACCCAAATATCCTGAGCCCAAATTAATTTTAAAATCCTAAGGAGCCTATTATTTATTCTTGAACCCAAAGGTATTCTATAATAGCCTTGAACCCAATTAGTCAAGCCCATGAGTGTATATGTAAATATATGAGTGATATGTTGTGAGTCCATAATGTCTTGTCCAACCCAATTCCCTAATCCAATCAAGCCTAGCCCACCTTCTAAATATAGTAACCCTACTATCTAATGTGTGCATGTATGTATTGTATCATCTTGAAGCCAGCTGTGTACCCCTCTTCTCCCTCCCTCGGCGTAGCTACAATGGTTGTAGCGCCATGTGTTCCCAAACCAACGACCGCCTTCTCCACCCTTCTTGTAGACCAAACGAACCCCATCTCTATATCTCCTCTCCTCTCTCGGCTTTGTCCTCCCTCAAGCTCCATAGAAAACCAGCTGCATCGTCTCCCCTCTCTCGTTTCTAGCAGCCGGCGTCGACAACTAGAGAAACAAGGTCGGACAACCGGAGCAGTGTGTGGCTGTGTCGATGAGCGAGCTGCGATCTCTATTTTCTTCCCCTGATCGACGTCGACGTCGGAGCAGTCCAAGCATGTGGCATTGGGAGCGGAACTCGGTGTTTCAGCTGAGGCACGGCGGCGACAGTCCGAGAGGAGCTCCGGCGGAGTGGCAAAGGCAGTAGCTTTTCCGGCGGAAGCGACGGAACAGGGCAGGGCCATGGCGAAGGACAGCTTGGATGAAGCAACGGCAGTAGATGGAAGGTCGTGGCAGTGGTGGTGCGTGGCAACGGTGGTTTCGATGGAGCTCGGTGGTGGCGTCTCTCCTCCGTTCCCGGTGTGGTAGCTCTCCGGCGGTGTGTTGTTCGAGGAGTACCCCGCGGGCAGAAGTAGGGTGGTGATCTCCCTCATGTTCCACCCGCGGGTGAAGCTGCATGAAGAAGATGTAGAAGATTTGTGGTAAGCAGCTTAGCTTTGGTTGTTGTTGTTTGTATTAGATTAAGTAGCTTTTGTTTAGTATGGTTCCTAATTGAGTTACTAGCTTAGATGGTAAGGTGGGTGGTTAAGTTATGGTTTGGGAAAGGGTTTGAATCCCTTATTAGCTTAAGTGTTAGCTTTTAATATATAGTTTATCTTAGGTTTGGTTACTAGTTATCTATTAGTACTATAATGTTGTGATTAGTTCTTAATAGGATGTTTAGCTTTGTTGGTTGAGCTTGTGGGCAATTAAGGAAGGATTTAGGGTTTAATTCCCATTATGAGCATAATTAGTTTTGTTTGTACTCTTGTTAATTAGTTGGAGATCCGGTTTGATTCACAGGTTCCCGTTTGGCTTATGAGTTGAGCTTAGCCTATGTTGGCGTTGTTTTTGGTTGGATAAGCGATTGAGGTAACCCATGCTCTACAAAATCTATTTTGCTTACCTATATGATGATTTCTTGGATTCTACAAGTGTTTTTCTATGAAATGTGAGTGTTTATGCATTGTCTTGTGAAAATGCATATCTAGAGCTTGTGTTTAGGGTTCTTGTATGCCATTGCTTGGCTATTCCTTTGATTCAAGTCATTTTGTTGTATTTGGTGAGATTTGGCATGTTTTGGACTTGAATTTGAGCTTGGTGTTGAAAATCCCCGAAGGGAATATTTTGGTGTACAGGTACGTACCCGCGGGCGGAACGACGGGTAGGCGTCCACCCGCCGCCCACCCGCGGGGTACAAGCCTGGACGTGGGTATGTACCCACAGGCGGAACCACGGGTAGGGGCCGAATCGTGGGCCCACCCGCGGGGTACACTTTGGTGATTGGCGGGGATTTGTTCCCCGTGATTCTTTTGACTCGGTATTTGGTCTTTTGACTTCCCGATGTTCTTTTGTGGAACTATTTGAGCGTCTTCTTGATGTTTCGTATGTATAGAACTATATGGTAGGAATCCATGTAGGTTTTGGTGTCTTGAATCGTGCTAAGTGTTCAACATTGTGATTCGTTGAACCGTGATGAGTTTTCTGTGTTCTTCGGAATTACGTTTGGTTTACCCGTTTGATGAGCATGCTAGTTCGATGTTTAAATTCTAGCGTGTGTGTTGTTTGTACCTTCCTATTGTTGATGATGACTTGTGTTAATCATCATTGTTGTTGGACTGTGATCCATTCCTGGATTGAGTATGGTTTCATATCGTCGTTGTGATCCGTTGATTGATTACTGTTGAGGTGTGATGTGTGTGTGGCTTTACCTAGATTGCACGATTAGTGGTATGGGACACTAGTCACCAATGTATTGCAGTGGTCTTCGTGGTGGCCATGACGTGATTATGGAGTTGTGACCTTTGTGTAAGGATCACGTATTTCTTGGGAGGCATGTGTTGCCATGTGTGTGATCGGTACCCTCGTGTACTATGAATTGGTGGTTTTGTTGGCGGTCGTTGGCGGATGGGGACGACGGTCCTCGGAGGGGAAATGTTGGACTTGGTGTACAGGGGTCCTGGAGGTATGTATGATACTTAACTGGTGTTGGTGGGTTACCTGCATTATTCGTTGACCGGGCGTCGTCCCATTTCTATTTGTTGCTTTACAGGTTGGGTAGCTTGGGAGAGCGCGCTAGTGGCCTGTAGATAACTTAATCTCTTCCTTTAATAGTTGTTGAGGCTTGTGAGCCTAAGTAGTTGAATTGTTAGACTGTTGTAATTGTAGTATCTGCCTGTGCACCTATGTTTGTTATAGGTGTGGCATAACACCTCCGTGTTTAGACGTTGCTTCCATTGCTTAATGATTAATGTTTAGCTTTATGTCTCTTGTTTAAGCTTTTAAAAGTTGTTGAAAATCGGGGGTGTTACAGCTGGTATAAGAGCCTAGGTTTGAGCCTATGATGTTAAGAGTTGGACTTTAAAGACCTAAGTTGAGCTTAGGTTAGTGCTCTAAGTTGAGACCCTAAGTCGTTTAGTGAAGGCTCTAAGTGTTTAAGTACCTAAGTATAGGACTCTTAGGACGCGCGGTGATGTTGTGAGTTATCTTTTGCTATCTGTTTAGTTCTTTTATCTTGTTCTCTGGTTAGCGTTAGTAGTTTTGTTTGTTGCTCTCGTTTGGTTTGGACCTTCTCGGTATGTCGCCTCGTTTTGGGTTCGTTGAAGACCTACCGAGGTCTGCGGCTAAAAGAAAGAAGACCCAAAGATCTGCTGACACAAGTTAGTCAAGTCGTGGTGGTTGCAGCTGGGTACGCGGTCAACGCAAAGAAGATGGACTACTCTACACGCAATCGGGAGTCAGCTACAACAACCTCCGTTCAAGTAAGTGGCGTCGACTCTCGTACGACATCGTCATCAAGTTTTACGCTAATCCTAGAGTTGAAGTCACCGTTTCGTGCAACCGTAGTCCGATAAGAAGCAAGACGTCGTTTAGAGTTCGAAGATCAAGTTTTAAAGACCCCCACTCGCGAGGGGACGTCAAGAGCGGTCCTAGATGCTCTAAGAAGATGTCAACATACGCCAAGTGGTCACTTTCGGATCAACGTGTTTGAAGCCTCCCAGAGTTAAAGAGCTGCGAGTCAACCTTGGACCTCTCTAAAGCACGAAGAGTCGAAGTGTAAGATCGAAGTGTTCAACATAGAAGTAGTCCTACCTACCTATGGAGAAACCAAGATCGGGAAGTTCTAAGCAACGAACTAGGAAGTAATAAAGATCAAGGTGACCATGCATGAAGAGCTTGGACCTCTAAGGTACATGGAAGAGAAGAACATCACTGTTGGCAAGTCGTCCGACCCTATGATACGTAAAGAGGTTGGGTAGTAGTTGGTGAATGAGGATATCGTTTATCCTAGTCGGCACACCTGGAAAGTTATGTCTAGCATGAAGAATTTTGGTAAGAAGGTTTGGCAACAAGTAGGAATGAAGTCGTAACCGAGCTGCAATCAAACATAGGCGCAGCCAGAAAACTCAAACCGACAAGAGTGAAGCAAAGACGGATTTGATCACCGAGTGTTCTTAAGTTGCAAGTGAGACTCTGTGCCGAAGATTCCTGGTAAGAGATCTACCTAAAACCAAGAAGGAACGTGAAGTAGCTAATCTTGTATGGGAAGTTTGAACCGTAAAATAAAGGGCAGTTAGAGATCAACTTAAAGACCGATTCTACCGTTGGACCTTCATAAGTAAGACAAGTTCGTGCGGAAACAGATTTTTCAAGGAAAACCTACCGTTAATCAAGACAAGAAAAGACCAAGTGGTTGTAACCGACTACCTTATGAAGATTGCAAAGCTATCAACGGTGAACCAGACTCGACCTACTAAGCTTCTAGTAAGGACATGAGCAAATCTTTGGGTAAGGAACCATGTAAGGCCTCCAGATGTTGACTTCGGTAAAGGCGTCAGTTTGCGAAAAAGTTCCACAATTTGCGTTTGGCTTAAGGTTGCAGTTGAGCTCTACGTTTCGACCGACTTTAGATGGTTATTGAGAAAGAATCATACAGATCAAGAAGGCAAGTTGGAAACTTGCGCAATGAATTCACGAAGGCCGTGGAGTGTGCTCTAATAGTGGGTCAAGTTTCCCTATCAGCGGTGGTTGTTGTGCAAGGAATACGTGGGTGCTTAGACCTCGACGATCTTCAGGTGCATTAAAGAAGAAAGTTGGTTTGTAAATCACCGACGTCTTGAGATGGCAAGAACAGACAACTGGATGCGCTTAAGGAAAGAGGAAAGCGGTGGTCAGTGTTTCGATCGATCTTCAGTTAGCTAGAACGGACAACACGTCTTATCTCTAAGAAGATTAAGAGAGTGTGCTAAGAGTTTCGTTACCGACGCAATGATGAAGATCGATAAGGGAAGCAAGCCAACTCCTAGTTACCTAGTCCGTGTGAGTTTGGCTCAGCCATAACGAAGTGAAAGAAGAAGCCAGTGTTTGAAGAAGGGTTTGTGGTGAAGATGTTTGTGATCTCAGCTTATGAAGAGGGTCCGATATAGATCTTAGCGTTAGAACGCGTCATAATCTAGGTAAGGAACCTTCAGTTCGTCAAGAGTGCAGCGATCGAAGCGTCAAGTCGAAGAAGTCGCCTGAAGTCTAGAATCCTTAACCTCTTTAAGCCGTTTTCCTTCCTTTCCCCGTCAAATCTTCTACCCTTCTCGTGAAATCCGTCTTAACTCTTCGAGCGTCATTCTTGTTTTCTTCTTAATTTGATTATGTACAGGGTGACAACCTCGTTTTCCTAAGTTGTAACCTTGAAAATCTTGACCTCCTTTCTAATCTACGCTATCTTTGAGCCTAAATCTAGTACCTTTCGTCCTTTCAATTCTTTCAAACCTCGTTCTTGATCCCTCACTTCAAACAATTCTGTGCAAGGTGGCAACCTTATTTCCTAAGTTGCAACTTTGATGACTTTGATCCTAATCCTATTTAACGTTGTCCTCAAGTTTGGAACCAAAACTCTCATCCTCTTTACCTTTCCAACCATCGTGTCCTTGAGTTTAATATCTAAACCTTTCATCCTTTCCAACCTTTCGAACCGACTCTTTTCCAAAACCTAGTGTATATATATGTATATATAATCCCGTAAAATATTTTCTCTAAATAGTATCGTATTTTTGTGACACTCTTATCCCCAAAATGATTTTTCTAGCTTCGGGGACGAAGCTTCTTTTATGGGGGTAAGGATGTGACACCCCGTATTTTCCTAAAAATAAATTATAGTCCCGATATTAAATATTTTAATAAAAATATTTATATAGCTATTTATTTTAAAACGGGCTTGGGTCTATCTAGTATTGTGAACCAGTATTTTATACCTAAATATCCTGAGCCCAAATTAATTTTAAAATCCTAAGGAGCCTATTATTTATTCTTGAACCCAAAGGTATTCTATAATAGCCTTGAACCCAATTAGTCAAGCTCATGAGTGTATATGTAAATATATGAGTGATATGTTGTGAGTCCATAATGTCTTGTCCAACCCAATTCCCTAATCCAATCAAGCCTAGCCCACATTCTATATATAGTAACCCCACTATCTAATGTGTGCATGTATGTATTGTATCATCTTGAAGCCAGCCGTGTACCCCTCTTCTCCCTCCCTCGGCGTAGCTACAATGGTTGTAGCGCCATGTCTTCCCAAACCAACGACCGCCTACTTCACCCTTGATGTAGACCAAACGAACCCCATCTCTGTATCTCCTCTCCTCTCATGGCTTTGTCCCCCCCTCAAGCTCCATAGAAAACCAGCTGCATCGTCTCCCCTCTCTCGTTTCTAGCAGCCGGCATCGACAACTAGAGAAACAAGGTCGGACAACCGAAGCAGTGTGCGGCTGTGTCGATGAGCGAGCTGCGATCTCTGTTTTCTTCCCCTGATCGACGTCGACGTCGGAGCAGTTCAAGCATGCGGCGTTGGGAGCGGAACTCGGCGTTTCAGCTGAGGCACGGCGGCGAACAGTCCGAGAGGAGCTCCGGCGGAGTGGCAAAGGCAGTAGCTTTTCCGACGGAAGCGACGGAACAGGGCAGGGCCATGGCGAAGGACAACTTGGATGAAGCAACGGCAGTAGACGGAAGGTCGTGACAGTGGTGGTTCATGACAACGGTGGTGTCGACGGAGCTCGGTAGTGGCGTCTCTCCTCCGTTCCCGGCGTGGTAGCTCTCCGGCGGTGTGTTGTTCGAGGAGTACCCCGCGGGTAGAAGTAGGGTGGTGATCTCCCTCATGTTCCACCCGCGGGTGAAGCTGCATGAAGAAGACGTAGAAGATCTGTGGTAAGCAGCTTAGCTTTGGTTGTTGTTGTTTATATTAGATTAAGTAGCTTTAGTTTAGTATGGTCCTTAATTGAGTTACTAGCTTAGATAGTAAGGTGGGTAGTTAAGTTATGGTTTGGGAAAGGGTTTGAATCCCTTATTTGCTTAAGCTTTTAATATATAGTTTATCTTAGGCTTGGTTACTAGTTATCTATTAGTACTATAATGTTGTGATTAATTCTTAATAGGATGTTTAACTTAGTTGGTTGAGCTTATGGGCAATTAAGGAAGGATCTAGGGTTCAATTCCCTTTATGAGCATAATTAGTTTTGTTTAGTACTCTTGTTAATTAGTTGGAGATCCGGTTTGATTCAAAGGTTCCCGTTTGGCTTATGAGTTGAGCCTAGCCTATGTTGGCGTTGTTTTTGGTTGGATAAGCGATTGAGGTAACCCATGCTCTACAAAATCTATTTTGCTTACCTATATGATGATTTCTTGGATTCTACAAGTCTTTTGCTATGAAATGTGAGTGTTTATGCACTGTCTTGTGAAAATGCATATCTAGAGCTTGTGTTTAGGGTTCTTGTATGCCATTCCTTGGCTATTCCTTTGATTCAAGTCATTTTGTTGTATTTGGTGAGATTTGGCATGTTTTGGACTTGAATTTGAGCTTGGTGTTGAAAATCCCCGAAGGGAATATTTTGGTGTACAGGTACGTACCCGCGGGCGGAACGACGGGTAGGCGTCCACCCGCCGCCCACCCGCGGGGTACAAGCCTGGACGTGGGTATGTACCCGCGGGCGGAACCACGGGTAGGGGCCTACCCGCGGGGTACACTTTGGTGATTGGCGGGGATTTGTTCCCCGTGATTCTTTTGACTCGGTATTTGGTCTTTTGACTTCCCGATGTTCTTTTGTAGAACTATTTGAGCGTCTTCTTGATGTTTCGTATGTCTAGAACTATATAGTAGGAATCCATGTAGGTTTTGGTGTCTTGAATCGTGCTAAGTATTCAACATTGTGATTCGTTGAACCGTGATGAGTCTTGTGTGTTCTTCGGAACTACGTTTGGTTTACTCGTTTGATGAGCATGCTAGTTCGATGTTTAAATGCCAGCGTGTGTGTTGTTTGTACCTTCCTATTGTTGATGATGACTTGTGTTAATCATCGTTGTTGTTGGACTGTGATCCATTCCTTGATTGAGTATGGTTTCATATCTTCGTTGTGATCCGTTGATTGATTCCTGTTGAGGTATGATGTGTGTGTGGCTTTACCTGGATTGCACGATTAGTGGTATGGGACACTAGTCACCAAGGTATTGTAGTGGTCCTCATGGTGGCCATGACGTGATTATGGAGTTGTGACCTTGTGTAAGGATCACGTATTTCTTGGGAGGCATGTGTTGCCAAGTGTGTGATCGGTACCCTCGTGTACTATGAATTGGTGGTTTTGTTGGCGGTCGTTGGCGGATGGGGACGACGGTCCTCGGAGGGAAAATGTTGGACTTGGTGTACAGGGGTGCTGGAGGTAATGGTTGGAACTAGACATAAGGTTGGGGGTCGCCATAAGGTTGGAACCGGGCATAAGGAAGGCATATCAATTCGTGATGGGTGATGTCACGAATGCTTGTGTAGCCGTTGTTGTGAGTTCTCTTCTTGTGACATGTGTTGTCGCAAAGGCATGTGTTGCCTTGGCATGTGTTTCCATTGGTTGTGTCCTTATTTCTCTTGAGTTGTGCATGCCGGGTGTTAATCTATTGTGTGATGATAGATTATACCTTGAGCCGTCCTTGTGAGTTGTTGTTGTCCTTTTTGGTCTTGGGATGTGTTCCCTTATCTTGTTGTGAGTACTTTGAGTCTTGTGTTGACCTTTGCTCTTGGTTTTGAACTTATATATATACATATTCCGTTTCGCAAATGATTTTATATATATATCCTATCTATGTATGATACTTAACAGGTGTTGGTGGGTTACCAGCATTATTCGCTGAACGGGCGTCGTCCCATTTCTATTTGTTGCTTTACAGGTTGGGTAGCTTGGGAGAGCGCGCTAGTGGCATGTAGATAGCTTAATCTCTTCCTTTAATAGTTGTTGAGGCTTGTGAGCCTAAGTAGTTGAATTGTTAGACTGTTGTAGTTGTAGTATCTGCCTGTGCACCTATGTTTGTTATAGGTGTGGCATATCACCTCCGTGTTTAGACGTTGCTTCCGTTGCTAAATGATTAATGTTTAGCTTTATGCCTCTTGTTTAAGCTTTTAAAAGTTGTTGAAATTCGGGGGTGTTACAGTCATTCTAATGGGAAATGCATATACCTTGTAGTATATGCGGATGGCATTGTTATTACAGGGAGTGATCAAGAGGGCATATCTCAGTTGAAAGAGTATCTCTTCACTCGATTTCAGACTAAGGATTTGGGTAAGCTGAAATACTTTCTTGGAATTGAAGTGGCCCAAGTCTAGTAGTGGTATTGTCATTTCTCAAAGAAAGTACGCATTGGATATTTTAGAAGAAACTGACCTTTTGGATTGTAGACCGGTGGATAATCCAATGGATACGAATGTTAAACTCTTACCAGGGTAGGGGGAGCCATTACTTGACCGAGAACGATATAGGAGATTAATTGGAAAATTGAATTACCTCACAATCACACGACCAGATATCTTTTTTTTATTATTATTTTTTATTTTTATTTTTTTTGCAGTTAGTGTGTTTAGTCAGTTTCTTGAGAATCCTTGTGATACTCATTGGGATACTGTTGTTCGGGTTCTAAGGTATATCAAGAGAGCACCAGGACAAGGTTTACTATATGAAGATAGAGGACATGCTCAGGTTGTTGGGTATTCTAAAGCAGATTGGGTTGGTTGTCCGTTTGACCGGCGCTCTACTTCGGGTTATTGTGTACTCATTGGTGGTAATCTCATATCTTGAAAAAGTAAGAAGCAAGATGTTGTTGCCAGGTCCAGTGCTGAAGCTGAATACCGAGCCATGGCCTTTGCCACGTGTGAGCTTATGTGGTTGAAGCACTTACTACAAGAGTTGCAATGTGGCAAGGTTGCTCAAATTGCATTGATATGTGACAACCAAGCTGCTCTACACATCGCCTCAAATCCAGTTTATCATGAGAGAACCAAACACATTGAGGTTGATTGTCACTTTATTAGAGAGAAGATTGTGTCAGGGTGTATCAAAACAAGCTTTGTCAACTCTGCAGATCAATTGGCTGATATTTTGACAAAACCCCATAGTAGGTACGGATTCAAAAAATTATATGAGTAGGGCAAATTTTAAATTACGTTAGAAATGTCAATGACAAAATATCAAACAAACATAATAAGGTTAAAATACAAAATATATTGTAATTTTGCAATTTCTCATTTTAAGTAAATTGACAAAATTAGTCGACTGATCGAGATTACTGATTTATTCAGTTAAGAGGCCAATCAGTAATGATAAATCATGGCGAGAATATAAGAGAAAGATAACCGCACAAAAGCCAAAAAACACAGAATGTTTACCCAGTTCGATACGGTGTGTATCTACGTCTGGGGGACGATCACATAGGCGTCCAATCCACTAAATCATAATCCAATGTACAAAGGTAGATATACAATAATCTTACCCAAGTGCCCCACACAAGGTACAAACCCAGTCTACACAGGTTTAATGGATTGTTGAAGATGGAGAGCCATGCATACAGAAGTCCAATGAAATCCCTTCACTTGGAGAGCCCACTCTGATGCAGTCCACTTTAATGACGCTCTATAAAGTTGTTCCCACAACAATGTGATCACAGTGTCCTTTCGTTTAAGCAGCAGTAACTCTTCTCAAGTTCATCATCTTAATCACCGTGAACATATTGTATTGAGAAGATGCATGACAATCAAAGATCTAATCTCATATAGCAGATATGGAGTGTTTCTTCTTACTTTCGGCGTAACCCTAATTCTCTTCGAATAAGGGTACTTATAGATCCTTCAATAAACACTCGCCATAGATGTCTTTGATTGTAGAAGGTAGGACTATAAAAGAGTAATGTAATCTCAGAAGATTAGGTCCATACCTTTCTTGAAAATATACGCTGGTCATCTTTCCATATGAGTCTGATAATATCGCGTAAGCCTTTTAAGAAATCAGCTTCCTAAATCAGATCTTCAGTGTCAGTCCTTCTGTTGTTGCTTCTGATTGATCAGTTATCTGTAGAGCTAAACGGACAGACTCTAAACCTATCTTAGTATGCCATAATAATATTGCCAATTATAATATGTGGTTTTTGAACATTTAAAAACACTAACAAACTCCCCCTTTGGCTATTATTTGGCAAAACAACTCGACTATAAACACAAAGAACTAAGATAGATTATTATAAAGAAGCAACCCAAGTGTCCAGCCAGGGCCAGAAGGTACTCAATCCAAGACAGTTTAAGATAAAAAACAAAACGCCCAGCCAGGGCCAGAAGGTACTCAAACAAAAAACTCCCCCTGAGTTCATACTCCCCCTTTTTGCCAATGGTAGCCAAAGATCAAGCATTGGAGGGAGAGTCACTGTCAGACTTCACAGGATAAGAAGCAGCAGCAGCTTCAGTCAGGCTTAAACGAAGAAGAACGGTAGGCAGCTCAGTAGGGGCCCCTGTCAGTTGCTTTGCAATAATGCTGTGTACCGTCTCAAGATCAGCAACCCTTGCCTTCAACTGTATGGAAAGTTGAACATCCTTAGCATGAGGAGAGTCATTGGGCACAACATCAGGTTCAAAATTGGATGGGGCAGTCACAGGAACAACATCCCGAATGTGATCTCCAGACAGCAGACATTTATCAACAGTATAGAGCAACGTTGGACTGATCACTTCACTGGGCATAGGCTCAAGGCCCTGAGTGGTAAGGATGCCATAAATCAGATTTGGAAAGGGTAGTCTTACCTTCTGTTCCCGTGGATGAATCAAGGTAAGGATGTGATAGTAAATCCATTTGCCCAGATCAAGTTGCATCTTTGTTCCAATTTGAAATAAGGACCCTGCCAGAAGCTTGCCAACGGTGTGGAAATGGGCTGATGGGAACCAGTTGTAAAGGGCTAGGCGATGTAGAATCACATATCTGGATGTGAGTTGAGAGCTCTGCAGATAGTCCTTGTCACCTGTAGGCCAAGTTTCTGTCTGCCCACCGGTCAGAGTTCTGGCAACCAAGTCCCAGTCAGTAACAGCTTCTTCTTGCACAGCAGGCAAGCCATAGTATTCATTTATCATATCCGGCCCAAAAACATACCACCTTCCTCTGATGAAGATCTGCATCGGTCGTGGCCCTGTGAGAATGTCAATCTCATCATTGAGATTGCAATAGAATTCATACGTGAGAAGCTTAGAGTATGGGCAGATGTCCGTGACAGTTTTCAACAATCCGACTTCATTCAGCAAGGGCAGAATGTCACAAACGGAGTTCAGCTGGTTCTCGTCCACCAATCTTTGAACAATAAGATCTCTTCTAACCATAGTGGCCCATTTGGTCTGTGCAGCAGGAGATACAAACTGAGGCCGGTAAACAGATGGGTCAGTTTCTTCAACAGGTGGGGACCTTAGGAGTGATACTTCGACCTCTTGATCGTGTGGATGGCTTCCCTTTTCTGACAGAAGGGGCTGGTACAAAGGTAGCTTGAACAGCTGTAGATCCTTTTTGCTTAACAGATGACCGCAGAGTCTTGAACACTTGTTGAATAGGCAGGTTTCCTTCAGGCTTAACAATCTCACTCGATTTTCTCTTCTTCTCAGGTTGATCCACATCAGCGTTATCATCACCGGTCTCAACCGCAACCTTTACTGGGAAATTCTTCCTTTTTGACCGTCTTGTTTCTTTGGTTGGGGATTGAACCGGAGTCACAGAGTGGCTAGAATCAGAAACATTAGCAGACGAGCTTCCAATAATATTCGAAATCTCTCGAATTTTGAAATTCGTGGAGTCAGGATGAGCAGTTGCCTCAACAGTTGGAACATCAGATGGAAGTGCTTGAGATCCATACACTTCAGCCAGTATTTTATCATCTTCGCTGGAAGATTCGGAAGGGTGAATCACTTGATATGGTTGAGGGATTGAAGCATAAGGTAGACCAGCAAAATGTCGCACATGTTCCAAACTTTCGCCTAATGATGTGGCAGTGTAGACTGGGATTCCACCTGTTTTCTCAGACTTGTGGGGGCTTGATAGATCAATGGATTCAACATTAGCAGGTAAGACAGGAGTGTCAACGACAGTACAGACTTCCTTAGGGACATCAGCAATTTCAGCCGGAGGCAGAGCAACATTATCAGAAGCATAAACAACTAAACTCAATTTATTTGGCTCATCAGAGGACTTTTCTTTCTCATCAGACACATGCAAGACATCAGTTTTCACACAAACAGACTCACTCACAGGCAGAGATGTAGAATCAACATTCACAGGGGAATTCTCGGAATCCAAAGCAGTTAAATTTTTAGAAATAACAGGCACACAAGATGGGGTAGCAGAAACATCAGGTTTATCTGGTGAAATTTCAATAGGAGTTTCTGTTAGGAATAAATTGTAATAGATTTTGATAAGCCATATTGTAATTCGTAGATCCCCAATTTTATTAGACTAGTCGAGTCTTAGACCAAGAAAGGGAAAAATAAATTCATTAGTTGAGGAAATGGATGAAGAAGATATCAAGCTAAAAATCAAGAATTTGTCAAGAGAAAATGGCAAACAGAAGAGGAAGATGTATGCGTATGAAATTTGAGAAAATCCCTCAAGAAATCCCGAAGAAGAAAGAACGTGACTTGAAGTTTGCATGAAGCTATCTTGAAGATCAAGCATCTATGGAAAGAAAGGAGTACACCAAGTGGAACAAGAAGATAACTAATAGGCTGTACGGACGAGATGGTAGAAGCTTGAAATATTATGTGCAACAAGGTCATAGGTTCGAATCTCACATCTCACATATTTTAAAGAAGCCAAGTTAAAATTCCATCTGATCAAGTAAGAGGCGATGGTTTGGCCGAAGGGATACAATTTGCAAGTCAATGGGATGAGATTTCCAATTTGACTATGGGATGAGATTTCAAGGGATGCAATTTGCAAAGTCAAAGAGAATGAGATTTCCAAATTGACTAAGGGATGAAGTTTACAAGTGAAGGGATGCATTTTCTCAAATTGGTATCCCAAACAAATTGGAACCCCGAAATTGAAATAGGGATGCAATTTCATCAGAAGAATTGAAGTTCAAATTGGTACAGGGAAATCAATTTGAAGGGATGAGATTTACAAGGCTTCAATTCAATTGGAGATATAGATTGCAAGGGATTCCAAATCAAGTAAGGGATTCAATTGACAAATCTAGCAAGGGATAGAGATTTCATTTCCCAAAATAGAAAGGGATGAAGTTTCACAAGGGAAGAGATTTCCAAGTCAATTGAAGAGATGAAGTCTGGAAGCAGTATACAGACCCAGATACACGAAAAACAGAGGAAGATATTAGAAGAAGTTGCAGGAGCAAAAATACTAGTCTAACTAGTAAGGGATTATATTGGAGAATATATTTTGAAGATAAAAATCCCAAGAGGCGTGATCTACACCAGATGGAGATTCATGGGACGCCATTTTTGCTGAAACCTCAAGCTCAATTTGAAATATCTGACAAGATTTGCAACGTTATCTTATCTTCTGACAAAAGGCTATACAGCTAAGCAAAATTCGAAAATGAGACCGTTTCTTTTCAACGGACGGATTCTCATTACCAGCTATAAAAGGATGAAGATTGAAGCTTTGGAAAGCAGGGGTGAAAAAGAAGCAAATAACAAGAAGCAAGAATACAGAGCTAAACAGAGCATACAAAATTCAAAGAAAGCTTTCCATCTCAGGAGCTTAAATTGATATATCTTTTGTGAGATAAACACTCAGAGTGATACAGAGCTTAGAAAAGAAATATCCAAGAGTGTTGAAATCTTCATCAACTTCAAGAGATTAAGCGCATCAACGAAGATCATCTACAGAATCTCAAAGTTGGAAGCAAGGCAAAACTTGTTTTGGAGCAAAACAAGGGAAAGGAGGAAAGTAACACGGAGTTGTGAAATCCTGGATTGTCACACGGAGCTGTGAGATCCGAAGCAGCAGTGTCGGAAGAGATTGGGCGTGATTGGTGTGGGCTTGGTGATCAAAGCACCAGATCACGGAAGATACGTTTCTACCGGATCGTAGAAGACGGGGGGAAAGTAGCACGGAGTTG